GGCAATGTTTATTATCATTTAAAAGATTCAAGATCTGGATATAAAATTTGCCAAGTCGTTCCATATGGTAGTCCGAGTTGCAGCGAACGGAACCGAATCGATTCTCCACGGTCTTCGTCTAGACTTTGAGCAACAGCTGCTATATTTCCTTCAGTGCATGCTGGACGTGGTCTATTCGGCTGAATAGTATCCAATAATGAATGCTRGGTTTCAAGATGCCTAATGGTGTAGCGGATAGATGGTTAGTAGGCGGTTATGGTTAGCAAAAGAAGGCTATTAAGAAAAGTACCTCTACTTGGATCACCTGTTATTTGTGTTCAATAYTAGGGGCAATAAGTTTTAAATTTTAACTGCACTCCAGTCAATAGAATTTCATTAAGTCTCCGGCCTTACAGACAGAGAAAGTAATGAAAAGCAGTGGATGTTAGAGGATCCGGGCACCTACCCGACAATTACTTTGAAGTAGTTTGGATTGTGAGTAGCCTAAAATATTTATCGTAATAGGAACCTCAGTACAGAGCGATTGCATGYWTGATCCCACTTAAAGAAACTAAATRAAGTCGAATCAGCTATCCTGCTGAGTAGTTTTAGCTGAGGATGACGAAATGTTAAATCATTATCTTTCGGAATTCAGCCATTCAGCGAGAGAGAAGAAATATTATTCAAATATATCGTCCAATATAATAAATATTGTGAATGACTGGGGAATCTTTCGGGCGCATAAGCATGACTCAAGCCGCTAGCTATTAATCACCTTCYGATACTGTCTTTCAGTCAACCAACATATTTTTTTGGAGAAATATAATTATTAGCATGAAAAAAATATTTTTTGAAAATTTTTACTATTTATATTTTCATTTTCTTTGTAAGAAAGAACATTTATTAAATCGAAGGCTGTTTAACTATGTCAGAATACACGCTTTAATCGGAATTGTGCTATAATTCAGGAAGTTAAAAAAATTATGTAGAAATGGTATAACTACCACGAAATCTCAAAAGGTATACACATTTCCATACTATACATTCATACAATAAATAGACGTAGTTAGCCAGTTAGTTAGCTTCCTGAACAGAATTTTTAGAAAAATGTACGAAAGCGAAATAAGATTCTTAGAATGTTCTGACCAGCACACTTAGAAAGATTGCAACACACATTAAATAAAACGAAATCAAACCAAGCATAACGGCCAAATRAAAAACTTAAAGCAAGAACTTAGCCAAGCGCTAAAAACRCTTGTRTGAGGTGTATATTTTGTRTTATGTATATAATATGTATTTGTAGGTATGGCCAAGTCTGTGAATAAATGAGCAAAGACGTTTATTGTTGTGCTGAAGATGATGTGATGGTGGCCCAGGCGTAACGCATCCGCGCCGCCGGTCGACGCAAACAAATCGTCGCCCAGTCGGCGGCCAAAAGTTGTTAACTTGCCAAAGGCCGAAACGGAAGAAAAAGAGGAAAAAGAAGAAAATTCGCGCAACCCACCAACGACGCACGGATCAACAAAGCATAACGAGGAAAGAGGGAAGTAGGTGTTGCATGTGTGTGTGTGTGTGATTGAGCGTTTGTCTACTTAACACTTAACGCGTCGCAAAAAACCTAAGAAACGAATAATAAAAAATGAGCAAATAATAGCTAAAGGCAAAAATCAATTGACTTTACTCATTAACAAAGGCAAGAGAGCAATATCAGCAAATATAACAGTCAAGACAACAAAGCGCTTAAAGTGCCAAAGCAATGAAAAAAAAAAAAAAACAAGAAGCAGTTAGTCTGTAGAGAGCTCCCACTTTTGGGTGCCAACGGAGAAGAATTGTGAGTAATGAGAAAAAGTTGGCGGAAATTTAAACTTTTTTGTTTGTGTTTTTGTAAGCGTCTCCACTCAGCTTTTGCGAATTCTCTGAAACTTGGTGTGACCGGTTTAAGYCTTACGCCTTTACAAGCACATATACACAAACACTTCAAATGCGAAGAAAATTGCCTGAGTGTGAGCCAGCTGTTTTATTATTTCGCTATTTTATTGCTGTGTGCTGAGCAGCTTTATAGRCATTACACTGAGCGCTAAGCATACTGACTTGCTTTGGAGAATTTTGATCTTCATGTGTGTGTGTATGAATTGTTTGTTTGCTTGCCTTTTAACTTATTGGCTTCTCAGCGACGCTGTGGCATTGGCTATCAACTTGCTCGTCGGCTTGCGATTCAGCTAGCCAGCTGTCTTACAGCTACCACTTCCAATTCGACAGTCTTAGCCTGGTCGGTGTGACGAGTACAACACAAACGCTTTGAGGTACGGAACGCGTGCGCACGTTATCGTCGGACGTCGGTTAAAAAAGTTTTGTACTTTGCTTTGCTTGGAGTTTAGAGTGTGCGCGTATTTAGTGGTCTTGTACGAGTGTGTGTATGTTTGTGTGTGCATGTGCGTGAACACGAGTCGAAGACGAGTATACGAGCCTAAAATTGCGGAATGGTATGTAAACGAATAGGCAACGCAACGAGTGATCATATTTTTCCATACAAAAATAAGCAGTCRAAATAGTTTTCTAAAGAAATGTAAATGTAAAATGTTTAAATGAGTTGAAAAATGATTGTAAAACGGTATGTTATCAAGCATGGAATGTGAATTCTAAGTGCAATCGTGTTGGCATTGTACTAAGTTGCGGCTAAAGTGTAGTGGTGCGCGCCGTCGCATATAGATATGATAAATAATATTTGGTAATAATTTTTGTAAGCATCACGCGCGGCACGACAGGAAGTCTCACAAATGCGTGCAAAGACTTGATGAAGTTCGAAAATCATTATTATTGCAGTTTATGAATGCGTGCGCATAGATTTTGTGGCGTGTTTAGTGTTTTGCGGCTGCATTAAGATTAGTGACTCCATAGCTATTCATATTATTGTTGTTGTTGTTGCCCTTGTGCGCACATAGCGCTGGAATAAGAATACTTGAAATGCATGGAATTGCGCTATTTCATGGTGCATGTGTTTACAGCTAACACGCTGTGCCTGTGTTTCAGCTTGCATGCTTAGTTAAGAGTTAATTCGAAATAATTTATTKCATTAATTCATTTTTGTTATTGTTTTTGTTGTATTGCCATCATTAGCGGTGCATGATGTCAGCAATATGTGTGTCAAGTGTGCAGCAAATACGGAAAAAACAACAATTTTAGCACCCTTTCTTCGCCCGCCAGTCGTTGTACAAAAGACTTAAGCAACGAACCCGTTTCAAAACTCATGGCAACTGCGCTGTGCAGAAGTCTGTATAAAAAGCTGTTACCAGCAAAATGAAATTGCGCATATTTTGTAGAAAATTTCCAACTAACATCAAGTGTTACTAATTACAGTTATGTTTGTGTGYGCGTTGCGCACATTTGTATTAGTTCGCTACTGAAAACACCCCTAAAACCCTTTAAACATCATCACATACATATATACAAAAGCTGTTATGCTGCGTATCTCACATATTCGGTGTAAATAAATAAACAAAATTAATTTCACAAATTTACATAGACAACAACAAAAATCTGTAGCAGTTTTTGTATTTGATTTCATAACATTTACGCTCACCACTTGCGGCATGTGATTGTGCGGCGCTCTTGACCAAATCCATATCCATAATAACAATAATAATAATTATGGCAATAAGAAAAGCCAACAAATGTGGTGCTAAAAGCAGCAATAATAACAACAATAACACGCAGATAGCCAGCGTTGAACAAAAGGCCGCCGCAAGCGTTGAGTGAATGAAGCGACGGCTCAACCTCAATAAGACGCTGAAATTTATGCAAAAAGAAGAAAAAATAATAACAAGCACAACAACAACAAGACATACTAAAATGAATTAATAAATAAAAGCACCCACAAAAGTTGAAGTTGAGAGGTATCATACAAAGCATACGCGTAAATGAATATTTGAAAAAAATTGAGTTGAACCGAAGTAAATGGGTTACAAAGTTTTGCATGCAAAGATTATTACGATTACACATACATACAGGTGTATGTTGTGGTAAAAGTTGTCAAAAAATGTGTAGAAAGCACAGAGGATTTACAAACAAATAAAATACAAATTAGCTGAAATAAGCAAAGAAACGAAAGAAATACACAAATATTTTGCTGAAAGTACAGAATATAAGTTTCCATTCAGTTATAAAAAAAAAAATTCAACTTTTTCCACTTTTTCCACCTAATGTTTATGTATATTTCGATTTGAAGCTCAAATCAAACATTTTCCAAAAATATTATAATTTACAGAATTTTGAAAATGGTTTAAATAAAATTTCTAAAAASATAATTGTACTTTCGAAATTTGGTAAATAATTAAAAAAAGTTTTTCGAAAAACCATTTTCCACTCTTATAATTTACTTAATGTTTTCGAATTTTGAAATTTTAAAAATATTTTAAATAAAAGTTCCATAAAGATTTTACTACTGCCGAAATTTAGAAAATATTTGAAATATTTTTTTCTAAAAACTATTTTCGAATTCTAAAATTTTATTAATACTTTTCGATTTTGAAATTTTGAAAATGTTTTAAATAAAAGTTAGAAAACGATTTTTCTACTGCCGAAGTTTAGAAAATATTTAAGATAATTGTTTCCAGCAACATTTTTCTATTTTGACAATTTAGTAAATATTTCAAGCAATTTTTTCCAAAAACCAATTTCGACTTTTAAGACTTTATTAATATTTTTCAAATTTTGAAAATATTTTAAATAAAATTTCCAAAAATATTTTTATACTACCGAAATTTAGAAAATATTTGAAATATTTTATCTAAAAGCCATTTTCCAATTTTTAAATTTTATTAATATTTTTCGAATTTTGAAAATGTTTTAAATAAAATTTCCAAAAAGATTTTTCTCTAGAAAATATGTAAAATATTTTTTTTCAAAAAGATGTTTTTATTTTGACAATTTTGTAAGTATTTAAGAAATTTTTTCCAAAAACCAGTTTTCACTTTTGAAATGTTATTAATTGAGATTTTAAAAATTTTTAAATAAAATTTTCAAAACAATTTTTCTACTCCAGAAATTAAAAAAAAACTCTAGAACATTTTTCAACATAAGGAATATAATTTTTAAAATTTTTTGAAATTAGGACAAAAAAATAAACGGAACTCGAATATCCCGCTCTCTATTTAGTTAATTTAATGAATCAATTAATTATTAATTCACTGTTTGATTAACTTATTATGCAATTAAAAATGCAATAATATTTAAAAACCAGTTAAATCCGACACATAAGTGAGGAGTGAAAAATACACATAAATTATTTCACGAATTATAAATTTCGATAGCACCATTAAAAAGTATATTTCCTTATAGAGCTTTTGGCATCACATTAAAGAAAAGCACTTAAATCGCCACACTAACGGCCGACAAGGAAGTGTAAAAGCAGAAATGTTGAAATAAATAAAAAAATACAGAAACAATGAAAGACACGCAGCAATTGCAACAACAGTATTAACTGCAATAAAATTCAAAAAACTACAAAATTAATTTGTATTTGGCAAAAATTTAAATTAGATTACGCAAAAATCAAACAGCCCGAACAGCGATAGGAGCGGCTATTAAATATTGGATCCGCACAATATATTTGGCAAAACAAAATAAAAAATATAAAAAACCCAGAAGTTACAAAATTCAACGGGCTACGAGTCAAGCAAACACAGACTGGTAAGTTTATGTAATAAATTTACACGAATTGACATTAATTTGCCATTGCAAAAATATATATTTTTTTAAGTTTTTAAATGCTTTGCCCAATGTCATTAGGCACTTTACTTAAGACTACCAACTTTGAAGTATTACTTATGATTCCTCTTTTTTGTTGACCTGAAGGGGAATTTGCAGTTTGCCACGAAGTATGTAATATCCAGAGAGAAACGTCGGATACCATATAAAGTATATGTATAATTCCTCCTAGACGAGCTCAGTAATTTTAGCCTTGTACGAAAACCTTTTTTCTTTGATAAGATATCTTCACGAAATTTGGCATGGATTATTGACCAAGATATAGCTACTTTCTCTGAAAGAATTGCTTATATCGGATAACTATAGCATATAGCCACCATATAAACTGACCTATAAAAATAAAGATATGGGTCTATGAATACCCTTTTATTCACAAAAAATCATTCTGTGGAGAGTATTCTAACGTGTTCGGTGTAGTCGAAGTTAATGTTTTTTCTTGTTTTTCTAATTTTTTCAGACTTTACGAAGACAACTTATTCGTCACTGTACCTCTTAAAAGCACTTGACAGTCATTTGTATGTATGCATTTGTGAACCCACATGTAAATCTACATATATGCCAGCGCACTTTGTAAGTCACCTTACAAAGCACAAATAGAATTCGGTTGTCGTTGGTTTATCAGTCAATGTTAAATGTCACTCACGCCTACAAGCCGCTGATGTTATTGCCTTTGCCAAACGTTTGACTGCAAAAAAAGACGAGCTAAAAGGCAACTTGTCAGTATTATTAATTAATTTTTGAGCTAAACAGCCAGTGATTGTAAGCAATACAAGTCACTCAGTATTAATTTAGTGTTACCAGCATGTTGAAGATATGTGGGAGTATGAGTTCAATGAAGTTCGTTGCTTAAGTCTTTTGAAATACAAGTACCAAAGAACCATGTKGCGTGAATATATCAACAAAACGCATATAAAAACGCATAATTGTATTGAGACACTACAATAAAAATTATTTTAAATGCCAACTAAAAGCATTCTCTCAGCTGCTATCAATCAAAAGAACTCCCGCTGTGCCCCACAAATTGCATGAAAACGCGCAGCCGGTAGCGTATCAATTAACTAAGAAGCTTAAAAGATGCTGTAATTAGTAAATCTACAAGCTGACATATACAAAGCACATGCATGCGTATATATATATATGTTTATAGTGTATTAAAGTTTGCTAGTGGAGATACATTTGTACACGTGTATGCTTCAGAATTTAGCGCTCAATGATTTAATACAGAACGCGCTGTTAAATTAATGAAAAAATGCTATTCCATTCCTCTTATTCGCCTACGAGTTACTGTAAAATGTGTATATGTACTTACATGGCTTTATGTATTTATATGTATATATTGTTCTTAAGCATATTTGGCATACGCAATAAAATATTTTCAATGTGTTGGCAACAAGCGAACGAGTCAGTTCTTATAAGGCGCTACTTACTGTACATGTGTGCGTGTGTATGTATGTATGTGCGTTAAATCAAAAGTTTGTTGGTGAGCRAAAGATGACTTCATAAATTGAAGATCAGCTCCCCAGATAAATAATGAACGCATCTAAAGTAAATACATGTACTTGTGTGTGTGTAAGTAGGTGTGAATATCGTTTTTCGCATGAATAAACCCCATCGGAAATTTAAATTTTATTGATAAATATTTTGAAAGAATTTTTAAACAATTATGTATTTTAGCTCTAATTTCTTAGCTTTTCGGGAGTAGTTTAACGAAACTGAAAAATATTTTTTTTTTTAAAGGTTCACAAATACAAAACAACTTGATTCTGATTGTTAAGTTTGTATGGCAGTTGTATGCTATAGTTATCCGATCTGAAAAAATTTTGGTGGAGTGCACTATTGCTTAAGACAATAACTTATGTAGAATTTCGTGAAGATATCTTGTAAAATAAAAAAGTTTKCCATACCAGCACTTGATTCCGTTCGTTCAGTCTGTATGGCAGGTATATGCTATGGTGGACCGATATCGACAATTTTGATAAATGAGTAATCTCTTGAATAGAAAGTAACGTACGTAAAATATCAGATTGATATCTCAAAAAATTAGTGACTCGTTAAGATATTTTTTTTWATTATTGTTCATATATACATAAATCCTTTTTAATTGCATAAACAACAGACTCTGAAATTTTCTAATGTGCGTTATTCGGCTTCAGCCGGTCTCTATTCGTTTTATTAATTTATATACATGAAATTTAAGTTCAAATGTGTCAGTATTTTGTAGAATTTTAAAAAGATGCGGTTAGATGAATTTGTTATCTTCTAATCATCTAATCAATCAATACTTTTTTTTTTAATAAAACATACTCAAAATTTTCCTACTGTATTATCTTTTGACGGCTTTGACTGTGTCACAAAAACCCTCGCTAAAAACCSGATTTCTGTCAGGCCAGCAACACCRCTGTGACGCAAAGTCAACGCAGCCAACGAAAATCTCCACTGGTTGTTGCTGTGCGTTGCCGCAAAAGGCGTAAAAAAATTCAAATCAAAGCTAATTTTGCGGAGGTTTGCGGATTCACAGAAAAATGACGTCAAACGTTGAAACGAAAAATGAAAAAGAAATATATTTTTGTCTTTTCGAGTTATTTGCAAAGTGTGCTTTTGTGGTCGAGTCTTAGTTTACATCATCTAACTGACCATATGCTATGGAATAACGCCTGCGAATTCATCTCAAAAAGCATTGCACGCTAAAAGGAAATGTTACAGCACGCATAGCCAACGACATTACTTCAAATTTGATACACAAATGTCCGAAAGTATTTTATTTATTTTATTGACTCGCTTATTTGTTTTGCTTTCTTTGCAGTTGTCTGCCTTACTTGTCGCACATATGGCGAGAAATTAACAAAAACGGCAGTTGTTTGGCTTCTTTTACATAAGCGTTAACCTGTTTTTCAAGGTTAAAGCGGAATAAAAACTTTAACGTATTTGTTGTTTTTGGTTACTTTGTTTTCGTGCCTTCCTTTTTTTGTATTCACTTCACTGTCACTTGGAAATTGGCGATTGCACAAAACATAACTGCCAGTTCGAAGATCGATATGAAACCGCATTGCTGTGGCATACAAACCGTTGAGTGTAAATGATTTACCTTGATTGCTGGTAAAAAGCAATAAGTAATATAGTAAATCATAATAAAAAATGAAGCATTTTAAGCAAAAAACGCATTATGGCCAATCACTGCGGCAAGTTAATGTGTGAAAGTTATTGTTGCATCATTAGTGAGTGGCATCTTACACATTGACTGCCGAACTCTATGACACTGTGGCCTTGAAAACCAAAARGCACTTGTGTGTGTGTGTGAGCACACATAAATTTCATATAAAATGACACCAAGTTGTGAAATGCCTYGCTTACAGTGGATTAAATGCAGTAGCTTTACTTGCATGCCTATTTTCCTGTGAAAATATCTTGAGCTACAAATCGCGCGGCCGCAAAGAAATCTAAGAAAAATAAAATAAAATAGCGTAAACCATGTAATAAAAAATTGCCTATCAACACACCTCAAACCCTGCAACAATTGAAATTCCAGTTATGACTATCAAATGCAATAAAAGGATGTTGTTGTTTCTCTTCATTCTGCTGCTTTGGCTGGCATGCGTTTGACCACTGTTTTGTTGATATTACACATTACAACAACCACACCTTTACCAGACACCTGAGCTCCATTGCATTCAACACCTATTTTTGTTGTTCGCTTTGTTGTATTTTTTTTTTTTTTTTGTTGCTTCTGTTTGCTATCATCGTTTAGATCATCATTTCGGTAGCGTCACTGTACATCGACTCTCATTTCTTCTTCTAATACACCCAGCACGAGTTCTATCGCTGTATGCCCTGTAAGTGTATGCCAGTAAGAGAAGCGGAAGTGTTTTTGATGGCGACACATTGAAAAATGTCTACTGCACGTTGTGTCATTGTGGTGATTGACCTATTGGTCGTGTATGAAGTTTTATGCGAATGGTGTCGGTGTGCTTGTTTGCACTTGTGTCTGTCTGCCTTGCAGTAGGGTRTGCTGTTGTTGGAAATATTCGTCAGTTTTCCAAGTAATATATACCAATATATGTGGAAGGTAGTACCCACCTATATACATATGAATATAGTATGGGTGTGCATGTAAGAATTCAAAAATAAAAATAAATGAAATATTAATAGTTCTTAGGCATTTTATCTTCTAAAAAATCATTTGAGTCTACTCCACTAAAATTTGTTTTTTGTTTTTTTTTTTGTAACTGAGCGAAAGCGAAAGTATAAGAAAATAATAAGAAACCAAGAAAAATTAGACAAATTATATTTAAACTCTCCCGCCATCGTTCTTAGATATTTTTTTAATTAAACAGTTTTTGGCGGTCATTTAAACTGARAACTGCTATTTCTATTAAAAAAAATCCGCCAWTTTGTGRGTGGAAAATACCCTTATTGTAAAAAAAATGTAGGGATGTATTTTATATGTCAAATATGTAAGTAATTTTGAAATGACAGTGAACAGGGATTTTGAAAAAAAAGTCGAGAGAAAAACACATCTCAAATTTATAAATTAAAAAAGTGAAAAAAAAGGAAATTACCCCATATTGTTAAAAGTATGCCTAATAAAGTAAAAAGGGTCCGAATAAAATTACTTAACCCATATTTAAGAAATAAATTCGCAAAAAAAGTCATTTTTTTACCATGAAAACCTTAATGAATGATTGTAAAAAAGATCTTTTTTTAATTCTTTTTATTTTACTATTTTAACGAAAGATATTCATCGAAGCCTATTGGAGGATATTTTCGGATATTTTCATGAGCTTTGATTTTTTTATATCTCAAAGAAATGGCTATGAAAAAACAATAACAATGAACCCTATCTATAATAGTTTAAAATAATGATATAATACAATTAACGTTA